TTGAAGAACAAAAACGCGAAAATAGGCTGAAGAACATATATTCTGTTCTTCAGTTTTCAAAGAACACATTCGTGTTCTTCACCATGTTCTCCAAAGAACGGAAGAACACAGATTTCTAACAGTGTAGGACGAACACATAGTTTATAGCTGCTTTAAGTTAGTTACTAGGCCCTTTTTTTGGTTCAAAACATTTGAAACCTGTCGAAGACTCCACATCGTGGCTAACTCAATGGCCTATACAATTATCAGAATTTTTTTAAATTTATTATCCAAATACCCTTGTAAACTGCATATTTGTTATTCCAAGTGTTCAAAGAATCGGCAGGCATTTATTTAGATTCTTTCGAAACTACAGATCAGAATCTGAACAGCGTGATGAAACAGAAACATATAATTTTCTATAGTACTACCCTAGTACTTTTTACACAAATACACCCTTCACTGGAAATGAATCTCCAAAACTCGACTGTAATATTATTCTTTCTTTTTCGGTTTCCGTTTCTACATGGACACTGCGGACGTACAGACTTGATTGTGACGGACAGCCGGACACACAAACCTAATTACAACCGACAGCTGGACACACACACTTCGTTTGCGAAAACACACACTTGGCCGTTTTGAGAGCAGCATCATCAAACACGCAACACCTTGTTCGTCTGTCACAAAGCGAGTGAGGCGCAGTATCTATTTTTTCTGCCCACATTATCAGATTAGCTTTTAACTAATTTGAACTGGAGAAAGGGCTTTATTTTTTAGAAATACAAAGTAATCTCATTAAGCGACTCATTTGTATCTCTATGATTCGAAACAGAGCAGAGAACAGAGTTGACAAAAAATGTCTCAGAATTAGTTAATCCGATAATCAGCTTATCAATATGTGATAAAATTGTTATAAAAAACAGAACGAATGCCTTATCTAAATCACAACTTAATACTTATCGAATAAAGTGAACATCCACAATACTACTAGATGGACAATCCAAAGAAAACGACATATTTACCAAAATTTTTATCTAAATTATTCACAAAGAAATCAAAAAATGCCGTCGGTAGTACGCAACAAGCGATTGCAGTAAGTAGACAAAATTTTTTGTAAATTTATTTATTTCACCGCCCGTTTCAAGCTAGTGGAATTCTATTAATAGTCACATATGTAAATAAGGATAGAATGAGTTATACGATTCTTTCTACCTTCGTAAAAATCTGGTAGTGCTGAGCGCAGTAGTACTCAACAAGTTTCCTGGAGAACTTGAAAGTTATCGGAGATCGCAAAGACGTTCTTCAGAAAACAGATTTATAGGATCTTATAGTGATCGTTCGCTGAAATGTGTTCAAAAGTTGTTAACGAATGATTCTATTTTCTATCTAGAAATCATATGACCCAGTCAATCCCACATATCGTTTGATTTTTCCTCTGCCCAATAATAGCAATATTCCTGATCTCTGTCAAATTTTATATTTTAAAGAAGAAAATAATGTATCGTATATAAGTGAAATTGATAATACCAAAACACCCACAACATCATCGAAAATTTCACTCCACACGTCTTCACCATACACATTCGCTCAGTTCATTGGACTTCTCAAGAAAAAGTAGAAATACTCGTGTGTAATAATTTTTGTAATTCNTTTGATTTTTCCTCTGCCCAATAATAGCAATATTCCTGATCTCTGTCAAATTTTATATTTTAAAGAAGAAAATAATGTATCGTATATAAGTGAAATTGATAATACCAAAACACCCACAACATCATCGAAAATTTCACTCCACACGTCTTCACCATACACATTCGCTCAGTTCATTGGACTTCTCAAGAAAAAGTAGAAATACTCGTGTGTAATAATTTTTGTAATTCTGTCTTTGAAAAATAAACTTGAAAAATATTAACTAGCTGGCTTTTAGTACAGTCTAACAACAGTAAGAACTGTTTAGCATTCCTCAAAATAAACATTCGTAAAAGTAGTTCTTGAAATATGAAATGTAGCTCAAAACTATCCGGAAAATCGGTGCGCATCTGACTCAATGGGCGACAGCGGACTTAAGAAAGAGAATAGTACTGAGTAGCAACATGCAAGTTTTGTATTATGGGCTTTAAATTGGTTGATCTCTCTATCGCACAGATGCATGACTTGTTATTTCACAGAAAACATAAAGCGTGGATTTGTGCAATAAATTGAATTTGTTTATCACCGTGTTAAATCAGCCGTGTAACACTATGTTAGGCGGAACAAGTCATGGGATAGATTTAAAGAAAAGACTTGCTTTTCGATTAGGTTCGTGGAAGAACAGCCCTGAGATAACGTTCATATGCATATACACACACGGAGTAAAATTCTACAATGAATCTTGTTTTAGTCTTAGAAGGGTTCCTACCTACTTAGACGTATGGTATATGCAAAAATGAAATTTAGTAAACGTGTTAAAATGCAAACTGTGGCTTAGCATTCAAAACGCCTTTTAGGAAACCTAATAAAATGTCATATTCAAGTTGTCGAAGATCGTCCAGGCATGGTCAGTAATGTGGCAAAATAATTACATCAGACGTATTGTACTTATCGTCCCGTTTTTGCACCCATTGTTTTGATTGTAAGAGTCATTGTAAAACTTGCTGTTTCTCTCAGCCGTAGTAAAAGACTTTTAAAAGTTGGGAAAGTAAAGTTTCTATACACCTGTTTTATCATTCTACTACTCATGTATGATAAAAAATGTTTTCTGACGTATGCTCGGTAGCTGGAAAATTTTCCTTCGAATAATCAGCTTTAGAATTGTTTAAGGAACATCTCGATATCTCAGACACTCTATAATGTACAAACATTTCGTAATGAGATAAATGCATGATGATCAGGTCTTTCACGACAAGTGTTTGACATCAAAACACGTACGACAGTTAATCAATAGTAGTTGCCCGTAGTGAAGACGTTTCAGCACTTGACAGGGTAGAATCAAACAAACAGACAGCCTTCCGCAGTTTTAAAGAACAATCTACAATGCTAGTTTTCGAATAAACGCCAAAGTAGGATTGTTTTCCACATGCTGATGGAACAGTAGATTGACGTTTTCCAATTAGCACCGCGGTCTTAAACCGCCATATTTTTGGTTTCGTGGTATCTACTGTAACATGTAAAACTACAAAGTCTGAATTGTCACCAGTCATCATAAAAATTTTTTTAGAGGTGAACGATTGGGTAACTGTAGTGGTGAAAATGGTTTAGAGTCAATGGTTTTTTCCTCTTAAGTAACAACCCTTATACGTCTTGTAATTAGTCGCCATCTACCACTTTGGTCAATTACGCTATTGTTTTCGGTCAATGAAAGTGACGAATGACAAAACTAGTACGGGCAAACTCTCGATAGTCATTTTTGGCAAAAGAGTTATTCGCAGGTAATTCTAGTGGAAGAAGTTGATTGTTAGTACCCGTTTTAAATAACTGTAAATAATTGACAAGTAGCTGGAAGCGGGAGGCATAAGGCACTGTCCTCAAAATGTTGTCTTACAAAGTTTTGCTATATATGAGCGTTTTTTTATTAGGAACTCAGTTAAGACATCTGTCTTGATATCTTATTTATTTTCAGATCAGAGGACTGATCAGACAATATGGAACAATTACAAGCATTATTAACTCAGTTAAAAGATCGCCGTGCTTCAACTATTCAAGAAAAGATTCGTTCTCTGGATATACGAGATGATATATGGAGAAAATGTAGGCCATCATAGAGCTAAATCGAACTAATATCTTCCATTTGCTTATTTTTTTTGTACAGATACTGAATTATTGAAAGGAAAAACAAATGCATTAGAACAACAACGTACTGGAGTTTGTCAAGATATGTGCTGTGAACGAGAACGGCTAACAAGAGGAGAACTACAAGGGGGAGGGTTTAAATCTTATGAATATGACCAAGAAACAAAAACGGTATGTGTAAACATTCTGTCTCCAGTTTCTTCTGAGTAGCTAAATAATCAGATTATTTTGCAGTTTGAAAGTAATGAGAAATTTTGATATAGTTTGCATTACTCAAACATTTTTCTTGACTTTATCTTTATGTCTTGTATATTACCTCAACATTACACTTTTTTAGCTTGTTCACTCACTCATGGTAACCGAATATTCTCGAGCATCAGCTGATCAAGTGAGTGTTCTTTTTTCTGAATTATCTATCATCTCCATCATGCAATTATTTATTTTTTTAGCCAATGCCATCTCCTTACGATCTTCGTTCTGGTCCAGTATTGTTGAAAACGATGTCTTACTTAATAACAAATATTATGGATCGTTTCGATGTAGAAAGAGATAAAAGTGAATGGTATAACTTTTTATGGGATAGAACAAGAGCTATTCGAAAGGTACTATTTTTTATTTTCTTTAAGAAAACTCAGTTCACAGTTTGCCATCAGTTTCGTTGTTTCAACGATCTATCACATAGTTCATGTTGTTAATTTTGTGAATACAAAAAACGAACCCTTTTTTAGTGAATGTACGGACATGCAGGTTGAGATGTACAAATACTGTAATTACTTCATTTGAAAAATGACCAAATTTCGATATTTCTTATCTGAAACATGCTTGTTTTTCTTTTCTTTAGGAGTTAACTCAGCAACGTATTCGTGATGAAATATCGATTCAGATTTTAGAACAATGTTCTCGTTTTTATATATTTTGCTCAGCATTTTTATCTGAATATCGTCGAGAATTATTTGATCCAAATTTAAACGATAAGATGTTGATAGATTGTCTAAATCAACTTAAAGATCTGTATACCATGTTTAAGCGACAGAACCAGTCAAAAGCATTGAAAAATATCGCAGAATTTTGTTCATACATGTTATTGATTAATTTGAAGGAAGATAATGAAACATTATTGTAAGTTAAAATTTTTTGAACCGTTTTTTAAGTGTCTTTTGTATTATGGATCTCTGAAAATGATCACATGTGTTATGTGGTATTTGGGTTTTTTTTAGGCGTATTCGTCATTTATTCAGAGATTTAACGACGAACTTTGAAATGCAAATTGCTCTTGATATTCATCGTCAACTATTAGTGTCAAATACCACACGATTTTTTCAATTAATCGAAAAGTCGACGCTATTACAATCATGTTTACTAAATCGATATTTTTCAAGAATTCGAGCGAAAAGGTTAGACATTCTCGTACAATCAACGAGACCGAATGATGAAGTAAGCGTTTTTTTTTAACAAATTCAACTATTATGGTCTCGATTATTTTATGTATCTGTTATTAATAAGAAAAATTACAGTTTCTTTTGATGTTGTTTAATTTAGTGTAAAATATCTGAGCTGTCACTAATTCTTGGGATGGATAGTGAAAAAGATACCTGCGAATATTTAGAATCAGCTGGTTTTAATCTTGGTCAAGATTCAACAACAGTTATTTTAAATTTAAATGACCGACCTGAACAATTGCCAATAACCCGATTATCACAAAAATTGATTCTATCAAAGTATCAGAGAAATTTGAAAGATGTATGTTTGTGTCAATGCAGATCTATGCAAATAATAGTCGTTATTATCTGTCTATCATATTGATCCTAGATTATAAGTGGCAATGGAACCATTTGCTCTACAACGTCAGCAAGAACACCAGTTGAAGATAATTTTGATGAGCAGGGTTATTTTACAGGAGATTTAAGGCATATTGAACAATTTATTGGTATGTACTAATGGACGTGTAAGAAAATAAACAAGGATCTTATCTTTATGTTTTAGCCACGCATAAGCGAACAATCCCACAACCAAAATCCACATTAGCGCCGCTATATCAACCACAAACACAGCAACAACCCCATACTGCCTTCAAACGGCCAATAATACCGCAGCCACAACCAAAAACTACAACAACTACAGATATATATCGGGTATGCATCAGTCATCACATAATAATGGTGTCATTATAATGACGTAAACTATTTCCCTATTTAGAATCCATTTCAGCTTCCCATCGCTTCATCCACATCTGCATCCCCATCATCTTTATTTAGTAAGTTACCGACTTCGTCGTCGAGCCCATCTGTATTTATTCAACGACCATTACTACCCACAACACCGTCAAATTTTCAAGTTCAATTTGATTCTCGCGCAATGACAACAAACACGTATGTAATAATCCATACAAAAAAATATTTCTGAATAAAATATTTATACTTCTTGTAGACCTAGTATATTTGCTACGACACAAATATCAACACCAACATCATCGTTATTTTCCACGAAAGAAAATGATACAATTTCTAGTCCACCAAGGCCTCAAATAACAACTATGCCAGTTTCGCGGACTCACATGCCGACGCGAATTCCTTCATTACAAAATCAAAAAACAATTTTAATTGATCAATTGTCGTCATCAGCGTTTCAAATCCTTCCACATTCATTAACAACCCCAGCAATGCCCGTAGCAAAAAAATCAGATGATGTAGAAGCAAAGTCAAAGGAACCAGTCATCTTGGCAAAGGATAATATAGCTAAAGAACGTTTATTGACAAAAGAAATTATTGAATCATTAATAATAGACTCTTATGATGAATTATTAAATGAATATATCGAACAAATAGCCAATGACAATATCGAGTACGTAGGATTTAAAAATGTCTTGAATTGTATTTTTTAAGGTCTTATGTTAACTAAATCAATGTGTGTAATATGATTATTATGGTTTGTGCAGAAGAATGTCTTCTTCTAAAATATATTACATTCCTATGTTAAACTTCCTCAAATGATTCTCACTTATCATTTATCATTTTGACTAATTAGTAAAAGTTTTCTGTTATCAACAATGTATTCTATCTATTCTCTTTTTAGTGAATTAATCACTGTGTGGAATAAACGTGTAACCATATCGATTGATCTCTGTGACGAATTTATTAATGATGAATTCTCTGAATTATGTAATGAATGTTATCAAGAATTAAAATTTTCTCAAAAAATGATAATGGACACATTACATGAACAATATGAACGTAAACGTCGTCGATATTTATCAAAAAAATATTTTTTTATTTGGTTAATAACTAGTCGAACTAATAGAGAAGATCGTCTTATTCTAAAATGTTTACAAGATAGTTTTACATTGAAAAATAATGAACAAGTATTAGAATTATTAGCAGGAATTGAATTGATTACTATACATCATCAAACACTCGAAGATGTAAGTCAAATTCTAAAATTAAGACGACAATTAAAGCAGAAACAAATTGAAGATGAAAAAATTTTACATGAAAAATGGATACACGCTTGTAAACATATTGATTTTGTTGATATGGTTAAACAACAAACAAATCAACTTAGATGTAAGTCAGTAGAAACAAGAAATGTAATATTCTTTAAATTGAATAATTATTATTTTTATAATAAAAATAATTTTAATCTCATATTTTTGGAATACTATTCTATATGATGGCTGTTTAGTATCAATGATGCCCGTTGATCGAATTGATTATTATTCAAAATGGCTTGTACTCGTACCAATGGAATATACCGATAAAGATTTACATATTAAATGGATATTTAGCAAATTCACAACACCATCGAATGAGGTAAATATTAGACAAAGATATATTTTATATTCATTCATCAAGAAATATTTTTCATTGATTTACTTCTGTCAACTTTTAGAAGAATTAAGAGACGTAGGAAAATATTGACTATTGATAATTTACATGAGAAAGATCAGCACTACTAATATGCATGATGTGCTATATTACAGTGGTATTCGTGCCGATATTCATAAAACTTTTAGTCATTTTAAGAGTAGTTCATTTTTCGCTTTGAAAACTCGTTGGCTCATAAAAAGAAATAATTTACTCTAACGTTTAAAATTTAAATTTAAAAATCTAAATGTTTCTTTTTAAAAATGTTTAAATTTGAATGTATCAAACTTTTTTTTTCAAAGATTTTTTAAGTTTATAACTCGAGAAAAATCTCATTTTATTCAGCATTCGAACTGTATTATCGAAAAATGTTTTGACTTTTGAAAATCAGTCTAGAAAACCATTTTAAAACTAGGCCATTAGATACAAACTTTTAAAAAGTTTTTTAAATAAGTTTTCGCATTGAGTGTAAATGTGCTTCATCGACGCAACCTTTTTACACTGATTACAAAATATCGAGTTTATTTTTGAAAATACGTTTTGACAGCTCATAGTGTTGAATCATTTGTAGTATTTTTCTAGTTTTTTTCTAATTTTTACACTCTATGGCAGATGTAACTATTTCTTTATTTTAAAAATCCTGTGCAATAGACTAAGTGTTTCGACGTTATGTTGAAGTTGGAAAAAATCAGTGAGGTACCAGGTTTTGTTGAGTCATTTTTGCTCTTTCAACTAACATATAGTTAAGATGGATCAGTTAAAGATTCATTGCTTACTAGCGCTATTTCGAAAAATGGGATTTTTTGAAGGTCCTTTTGAAGAGCTCTCACGAAACATTTTATAAATTCAACCAAAATAGATCAGACTAAACTGAAGGAATGACGAAAGGCTTTTTTTATACGCTAAGTAAATAAGAGAAACTTCATTTTTTCCAATTAGTAGTGTTTCTCGACGGACTGACGAAGAGTCTCGCAATGAAACAAAATGATGCGATTTCAAAAACTTTTATTCTATGTTTAGTCATAAGCATTTGTCTTCCTATTTTAGACATTAAAATGTGGTTTTAATAGTTTTCAATCGTTTACATGGTCTAATGATCGCGTACGCACACAATTTCGAATTATTGGTTTTCTTGGTAAATTAAGTGGTGATGAAGAAAAAAAAATAATCGATACGAAATATTTACTTGGAACAACAGGAATCATTTTATTTTCACATAATGTAAGGAATAAATGCAATACCATTAATTAGTCTCTATTTCTTTGTCTTCGACAACCAAAGGAGCAGTATATTTTTTATTAACTGAAGCACAGTGGGCAACTATGTAGACAATAGGTGATAAAATGAAAGTGCGCTTTTTAAAGTTTTGAATAGTGTCAAATATATTTCGATTAACGGCCTATTTAATGGGATAAAAACTATCATTCCAGCTATCGTATTTAACTGAAAAAAAGACAGCATGAAAATTAGGTTGAAAAACGTAAAGTGAACTGAAGAATAATATTTTTTTGTGGATCGTACGAAGTATTCTTAAACAAATCATATATATATTCTGAAACTAGATTTCATACTCTATCGATTCGTAAAAGAACCTTTTGTTTTGGGCTTCTGGCATCGGAAAAAATAATTTTGCTATTGTGCGCTAAGTGTTTTCAGAAAAGCTGTGTTCAGTAAACTGCGCGCGCCATGCTTAGCCATGATCCAAACTCGATGAAATTTTCACAAGATGTTCTTCTTCATATAACACGTATACTATTAGCACAAACTAGCGCAAACACTCCTAGACTGACTGATAGGTTTTTCAGGCAAAATCCATTTTTCTCACCTCAGAAGCGCTTTCATTAAAAACTAATGATATATTTAGAATCAGCGCATCGAAAAAGTGATACGAAAGCCTCTAAACACTATCTTTATAGGTTTTTGTATGCGCTCTTTCCAATGGTGTGATTTACAAGTTCAAAGATGTTTTTATTAGGGTTTTTAAAGATCCGATCTCTAGAAAACTCGACTAAAAGTACTTTTGAACTTTGTAAATTACACCATTGGAAAGAGCGCATACAAAAACCTATAAAGATAGTGCTGAGAGGCTTTCGTATCACTTTTATAGCACATATTCACGTGCATAGTCAAAATTGCTCACTGTATGAAGGAGAAAAAGTCTTTCATTTGAAACAAAATTTGACGCTCATATATGTTGATGTTTTCTTTCGTTTTCTAGTGTTCGATAAATATACTTGATGAATATTTGAGATTAATTGATGACACAATACCGAAAGGTGTTCAATTACCGGTACAAATTCTATCAACAACAACGTCAGAAGTAAACAATATAGTAAAAATTCTTAAATCATACACTATTTCAAATCATCTTCAACGATTTAACCATAATGGATTGACACCATTAATTATTTCTGATCTTTATCGTGTTCATGGTCATAAATTAGTGCAATTGCTCGATAATTTCTTATCAAAAACAGTAACTAAATGCAAATGGGAAATAAAAACATTGGATATTATAGTAAATAAATTAAATTTTGAATTTGAAACCATTAAAAAAACTATCAAAACTTTTCAACATACAATCGTAAGTTTTGAAGCTGTTCGATATTAGAGGTAGAAAACACATAGAAACATTTTTTGAGTAGTGAAAAATGTCTGCAATACGAATTGGACAATTTTGATGTATACAAATATGAATGACTAGTCAAAGAATCTTATCATATGGTTCTGAAGTCTTTTAGCAAATTCCTACCATTTCCTACGTTAGGATCATATACAATCTTACCTCCAATTCTATAATATCCTATTATGACCCTACCAGTCTCCTACTAAGCTCTTGTAGGAATCCTGATATAAGAAATGATAGATATTTTCTGATGGATCGAACATCGCTTTCCTATAGAAATTCTACAAGACGTTGTAAGGACCTACGGGACCCAATAGGATTTATATTTTATTCCATTATAGGTTTATTCGACCCGGGTATAGTAGAATATAGCGAAAGAGACTATTTTTGCCTTGTCAGTGTTTTCTCTTCAAAAAATCATCCAACAGTAGTGGTGCTCCTACTCGAGCTTAGAAGAATCATCATTAATGTTTATTTTTAGAAATTGAACGATATAATTGATCTGATAAATGATTTATTATCTAAAATGTGGTCGTTAATTACCCAAGTGTCTACAACGAATTTGAATTGGCCACTAGCAGATTATTTAGCACCATATGAAGGTATAAATAAGAAATTGACTATCAACAACATTATTTATTGATTCTTTTTTATATTTGTTTTAGAAAATGTATTGCATTGGTCTTCAAACAAACTTATTAATCAATTGTTGCAATTTGAACAAACAGTTTCACATTTACCTCATATTAATTCTCTTTCAACGACACTATATTTAACTCGTGAACATTTTAATCAATTATCAATATGGAATAAAATTGAAATTTATTGTAAAAGTATTTTAGAAAAACTCTCAAAAATTATTCACGAATCACATGAACAGTTTTCCAAAACATTATTAACAAAGTAATGTTGTACTAAATCTGTATATTTCAAATATTTACCCATTTTTATTTTTGTTTGTTTATTAGAATTGAAACGTGGCTATTGTCTTTATATAAAGAAGAGAACGATATAATTTCGATAAATTTAATTGATTTATTATCTTTAATTGTAACACATATTATAAAATCGTTAACAGTCGATATTGATAAGAAAAAGGTAATTTTATTGATATTTTTAAATATTTTTTGTTATTAATAATATTTAGTTTTATCTGTACTTTAGATTAATTTAAATGATTTGTGTGGTATATTTCCTATTGATACGGAAAATATGCTTTTAAGAACTATATGGTTTACTGAAACACAGAGTAAGATTTTAAATTTTAAATTTATCAAACACATTAATTCATTTTATTATTTTCTTTTTCTTTTTTTTAGCATGGAAACGAATTATTGAATCACATCGTACTCTGTCAATATCATCTAAACGTTCAATTTCCTCTTTAACTTCATCTCATTCAAAAATTAAAAAACATAAAGAAAATATTTCGATTGTATTAGACGATAATGAACAATCATCACAACTAACATTGTCACTCGATTCGTGGAATATGGAAATGAAAAAATTTTATTCAAACATGAATGATGATCTTAGTGAAATGCAACAAACACTTAATTCACTTGTTCACAAACATCAACAACAAATGTAATATTTTTTTTTAATGCTTTTTCTTATCTGAAAATTATTCTCCTCTCTGAATATATTTGTATTATTATTATTATTATTTTTTTTTTTGTTTTTCTGTCACCATGTGTTAATCTATTTTCTTTTTTCGGTGATTTGCTTTGATAAAGCAAAAACTATATACTTTGTTGAGTTTTGTAAAAGCACACACACACACACACACGTACATCTAGATATTCTTGATTTTGTAAAAACTTGTTAAATAAAAATGAGAGTATTCATTAAAATATTCTTAGAATTATACTATGTCAGTTTAGTCTTACAGTGTGTAATGGTTAGTATACCTGGCATCATCCGTTCTCCCACAATAAATGCTTTTGTTACTTCGTTTTTAGAAAATGGTAAATAAATAATTCATACCGTTGGTATTATATCCACATTATGTTGTCTGCTTTTTCGTTTATTTACCACCTTCGTTAAACCACAAAATTGTACTTCAAAGAATAAATTAATGAATTATGAAAGAAAAACATTTTAAAATTTCAAGGTCAAAGTCCAAGGACATTTTATTTATTTCATGATAGTGTTGAATGAAAGGAACCTTGAAAGAACATGAAGGAGCGGGGAGGAGGGAGGTTCTCGTTCTTGACGTCTTTGTCGAACATAAAACTATTGGAAAATGGTCAACAAACTCATGTTATGATAAAAATTCAAAGTCAAAAAGTGTATATATTTACAACACACTTATCAGTATGTATTTAAAATGTCATGATCTGAAGGACGAATTGGTTTATGTCGAAAAAACATTTGTAGACTTTCTGGCAAAATCTTTGACGTTTTTTCACCAACAACTTTCTGCCAAAAATTTCGAAAAGTTTTTTTCGCCAGCCACTTTCTGCGAAGTAAAATGTTTAGCCCTTCCCATCCCTAACGAAGGAATCTCTCGAGGTGATAAAACGCTTTTTGCTCGGAATCTAGTGGGTTATAGGTTATCGACCATGGAGGTGGCCCTTAGCCTTTCGAAGACCCGGTTTTCTAGAAAACGAGTTTTTCAGAAACTCTAAAATATAACCAGAACCTTTCTTAATGAGGCATGATTGTATGCAAAATTTCTGATTAAAATGAGGCATTCCCCAGTTTTACACGACCTTTCTTTGCAAAGTTATAGAATTTACAAGAAAGACCCTAAATTAATTTTTAGAGTTTCTGAAAAACTGGTTTTCCAGAAAACCGGACCTTCGAAGGGCTAAGAGCCATCTCCCTGGCATATTCGAAATTAGCATGGTCCATAACCTATAACCCACTAGATTCCAAGCAAAAAGTGTTTTATCACCTCGAGAGGTTCCCTCGTAAGAACAAGTGAAAACCTTGAATTTGCTTACAAACGTGATAATGTCATTTGGCGAAAAGTAATTCGAACGGAAGAAATTTTTTGATGGATATAACACATATTTTTCGTTTTTCACGTTTTAGATAAATGGATTGAATTCGACTATAAATATGACTACTTTCAAAGCACAAGGTCAACAACATGCTGAATCTATCTTAAACTCTAGAAAACCTACATGTAGAGTTGAAACAGCATACAAAAAATGTCGATAAAAATAATGAAAATGAGAAATTTGTTCATAGTGAACGATTAGCCGTTGTCTATGGACTATTTGAAGATAAATACCGGTGAATCATCGTTAATAGGAAAGAATTTACATAACTGGGAAATTTGTCACCAAGCAATAAAATTAATTTCTTAAAAATTGACAAACAAGGCATTTATTTAAGAGATTCTTATTGAACGTACTTGGAAAGATTGAAAAATATATTTAAAATTCCTCACCCTTGCCATGTGCTCTAAATAGTACTTGTCTAAATTTATAATGATGTTATTGTTTCCCAGTACTTCTACAGAGTACGCGATGAGTTAGGGTTCGGATAAAGTTAACTTGAAATATCTAATCAAATGTGTATTAATTGAACAATCATCTTGTACAAAAAGTTCCTCTTGTTTTTTATTTTATTAAAATTTTATTTTATTCTTTTGCCTACAATTTTTTTCCATCACATGCCTTTTATTTATTCAGTATTTTTATAGAGTCTTTTTGGCCTTGAAAATACGCTCGACGCATCAATAGTTGATCGGTGAAGAGCAATTGAAACTGCTTGCAATGATCTATTAACTTGAATATCATAGCTTTACTTATGAAAGCGTAATTGCTTTGTGAACTTAATTTTTTATGTTTAAATGTTGGAACTTTAATATTTTGATTTCTAACATTATAATCTTCCCACATAGAATAAAATAAGTTAAAACAAAAAAGCAGATATTAAGTTACAACTCGTAAGTCTTTGGATCATACTAACGTAAAAACAGCGGTATTTGTATTTGTATTTGTAATTTTACTTAAACAAGTACCAAAAAGTTCTTGCCACAAATACTTACGAGTAAATTTACTTGTGGAAAAAACCCAAGTATCGGCATCTTTACATAAAAGAAGTACTTGTCCAAGCATAGGCGGCGCGCCATAGTAGCGAGGGGTAGCACCTATAGAAAATTAGGGATAGCAATAGAAAGTTATTGCTACCCCTAATCACACATATTCTGGGAGTTGTTAGAAGAAGTGGGAACTGGGAGTTGTTATTATTTATTAAAATTATGAGTTTAAAAAATTTATTGCTACCCCTAGGAACTTTAACTTGCGCCGCCTATGTGTCCAAGTATGCATAGGATGTAGCATTTTAAAAACGGTGTGCTTGTATAATCACTATTATTAGTGTTTGTATTTTTATTTATATTTTTTGTTAGCCATTTGATGTAACTATATTGAATGATTAAAATTTCTGTCATTGGGTGTCCTACTAGTACTCTAAATTAACTCTTAGTTTTATCTGTTATTACTATTAAGTTTAAAAGAAGCAAAACGTAGATTTATTTGCATGTTATTGCTTTGTGACGGTACCATGATAACTACATTGCATTCTTCATTCAACTTATTAATCATTGCATGTTGCATTTGCTGTTTATGTCTGATAACTAATACTTTTACACTACTTGAAATACAATTCGATATTTTCTGTTTTAGTTCTAGTTTAAAACGATTGCAAAATGTACCAGTATTATGCGGTTATTTATCAACTACTACTTTATTTGGGTATAATAGCTCTTGTTATCTACCTATTTTTGCCACTGCAGGAAAGAATTGAGCAGTTTTATCGAAATAAAGTTGTATGGATCACAGGTAAGAGTTGATTACATGGCTACTATGTTAAATGTAACACGCGTCTCTTTCTTTTCAAGGTGCCTCAAGTGGAATTGGTTTAGAACTTGTTAAACATTTAGCAGTGCTTTCTCCAACAACAAAATTAGTGTTATCATCACGTCGTGAAGATGAATTAGAAAAGATAGTTGAGGAATTAAAGTTAGATAGAGATCGGTGTTTAATTCTACCGTTAGATTTAGAATATCATGGTGACTTATTCAAGTAAGACACTATTTATTCCAGTAATGTACGTCTACAATTGTTTTCGTTATTTGGTTTTAGATCAAAGGTTGATTTAGTTTTGGATCGTTTTGATCATATTGATATATTGATCAATAATGCTGGTATATCTCAACGTTCGCTTATTAAAGATACTCAATATTCTGTTGATCAACGTTTAATGTCAATTAATTATTTGGGTACAGTAACATTATCAAAAAGTGTCTTAGAACACTTTATCGCTCAAAAACACGGTCACTTTGTTGTTGTTTCATCAGTATCCGGTTATGTTGGAACACCATCACGTTCTACGTATGCAGCATCGAAACATGCATTACATGGTTTTTTTGATGCACTTCGATTTGAACATGAGAAGGATAATATTCATGTGACAGTGATATGTCCAGGATACATTCGAACAAAAATAAGTGAAAATGCATTTTCAGGTACGTGAGTATTTCTTGAAAACCTAATAAACTGAAGTCGGAATCTC